GTAGCTGTAAAAGGAAGAGGAGTAGTTTTAAATCTTCTTTTTAGATAATTGTGGCTAATTTTCTTTGATACTACACCAAAACTCAGCAAGTGGTCATTTCTTTCTTACTTTTCACTTTGTTGGGAAGGGAATAGCAAACAAGTGGTAGTTTCTTAAAGGCTAGTTATATTGTGAAATCTGGAGTTATATCACTGAATTGTATAAAATTCATTGTACAAGAAAATTCATCAACTGTCTTGCAGTATGAATGAGTCTTTTATCCTTGAATGATTTTGTAGCAATCATACATGGAACATTTGGAAAACATTTGTTCATTGAGTTATACAGATCTTTCCAATGATGATATTTCATTATACAATATTAAAAAATCACGTTTGTTAAGATGACTACCAATTTTATCTGAAAAATTATTAACTATTGGGAAATTGTCAGATCAACAGTAGTCGAAAGTTTGTAAAAATAGAATTTTCACTTGAAAGTTTCAGTTTTATCATTGACAAGAAATGGCAATTGTTTTCTTTTAAATGCCAAACTGTTTATTTTTTAAGCAAATTTCTGCCAAATATCTACATTGGAATAACCATAATTTATCTACAGTCACTTTTTGAGGCAAAATTGTGTTCCCTGAAAAAAAAAGTCTAGTTCAGTTCACAGCTCACAATCATGTTCAGTGTTTTTCCCTGAGACCCACTTCTGTATGCAGCAGGAGTGCTTACTTAGTCACCACAGAGTGAATGTATTTTCTCAAACAGAATATTAAAAAGGCATGTACTCAAGGGAAAAGATTTAATGAAATTAAGTGGAACCCTCCCCACTTCCACCCCTTAACCTTTATGTGAGCAAAGTTTAAAAAAAAAAAAAAAAAGATTCTCTGTACTTGTCGATGTTGCTGCCTTGGTTCTTGTTCTTAGGTGCCAGCAGTTTTATCCACCCAAGGCTCCCCCCCCACCTTAAGTGTAATGTCAACACAGTGAAAAAGGCACATTCCTTCCTTGCATTATTATGAAAGTAGTTTTAATTTTGTGGACCTCCTCCAAAGAGTCTGGAGGAATACCAGGAATTCACAACTCATGCTTTGAAAACTCCTATGATAGACCTTCAAAGAGTGATTCGCTCTAAATTATGGGGAAAGTATTGGGAAAAGCATCTCTGAGGAACTGATTTTTTTCAGGCAGGCAAAGGGAACAGTAGCATGTGTGAAAACTCTGAAGTGGGTGAAGTTGTTGATGCCGTCAAGAAATTGCAAGAGAACCAGTATATGTCATGTCATGATCAGGAGACCCCCAGTTTATTTGAGACTTTAGAACCCATTTTAAGGGCTTTGAATTTTATCCTGTGACCATGAGAAACCATGAAAAGCTTTACATGAGGGAAGTGATAGGATCTGATTTATATTTCCAGCTATCGCTGTGACTGTTGGAGGAGTTTAAGTGGTACATTCTGCTAAGTTATTTTTTTATATCGATAGTTGGAAAGTCTCTCTATGATTATGATTAAAATGAAAAACTCGGAATTCAGGACTTAAGTAGTAACTTGATTTTGATTCATATTTTTCAGAAAGTCTTGCAGGTCAGAAAAAGACAACAAAAGGAATCTTCTTTAGGACCACATGATATTTTATTCTTTAGTTAAAATATCTCTACTTCCTGGGAAACACCTTTAAAAAATTACTTGTGTTTAATTAAGTAGTTGAATGGATGTTTCTAAGGGTGTACTCTCAAGCAGCTTATAAATTGGATGCTTAAGCTACACTCATCCTAGTAACTAACTCCACAAATGTGAGTTCTCTGGAGCCGTTATATAAGTGAACTCAGGGAATGTCTTCTGATCTCCTCCTTCCATCTTTTCCTATTACAGATTTCTTTTACCTATATACCAACAATGATCATGCGCTCATATTGAAAAGTTACTCCTTTAAAGATAAATACCTGTGTTACTCATTTCTCTCTAGAATATTCTTGTGGCCTTGGTGTTTATGGATTTAGTGATCTAGCAAAAAAAGAAAATGTTCATTTTCTTTTGTTAGCATTTAGCTAACTAAGAGACCCATTTTCAGATTGCTGCTGACTTAATATGCCCTCTTTTTCTTTCTTTTCAGTGATGTGTAGCTTTTTGTTTTGGGATACATCACTTTAGGGGTTTATATTGATGGGAACTAAACCTTTTTTCTTATTTTCCCTCTTAACCAACTGTGGAACTTCACTGTGTTGGCTTTGGGTGAGTTTCTGCTGAGCTGAAAAGAATCTGTTGGGTACACAGTTTCTTAGTTCATGTAGGTGGGGGCTCTTTGCCCCTCATCAGGTTGGGTTAATTTCGCTTCCAGCAGACCTCCGGTGTTTATCTCGGGAGAGTGCTCATCTTTTGGCCACTGTCAGAACTTTGTTACACTTCCTTGCAAATTCATCTATGCCTTGAGTTTAGATTGATACTTTAAATATCATCTCATATTTTAACTATCTGTTTTAGATACCAGGGAGTATTCTAGTTTTCATTAAAAAATCTTTTCATATAAATACATTCCAGAGTCAGAAGTACGCCCTTTCTCATACTTGATTCTTGGTTCATTCACTACCTGGCCTTAGTCAAGTCACCTAACATTCCTGAGTTACCACTATGTATGTCCCACGTTAGACTTTCATTTAAGAAACTGTCATATTATTTATGTGCTGTTAAGATAGGAAATCAGAGTGTGCCCCTTAGTTTTGTTCATTTAGGGCCCTATGGATTTGCCCCTTTTTTCTGAAATGGTTGTTGTTTTGATGATATTGATGATAGAGATAATGACAGGGACTCAGGATCAGTGGTGCTAACAATGATGTATTAGAAGGAGAGGGAAGGAAAGGAGCTTTTGTTTCTGACCAGATGGCCCAGGCATGTGTGATGTCTTGAGGAGCTTTTGGGACTCTAAGCAGAATTGCTGGTCCTCAACTGTCTCTCCTCCCTCTCCCTCTCAGTCTGTGAAATAACATCTAGCACAAATAGGTTATTTTTCTGAGCAGTAATAGAATTTTATCAAAGTAAGTACATCGCTGAAGCACACATTTCTAGCCTGCAGATTTTTGTTGTGAAACAGCTAGCTCATCTCTCAGCCTTGCTCAGTTTCCTAGGTTCATAGCCTATCATATATTGTTTTCCTTCTCATAGTTTTGGTTTCTGTGAGTCTGTGGTTTTGGTTTTGTGAGTCTGTAAGTTTGTTTTGTGTGTGGTGTGGGTAGGTTGGTTCATATGAGTATTATAATTATGATTATGATTATTATTTTGAGTTGGAGTCTCACTCTGTCACCCAGACTGAAGTGCAGTGGCACGCTCCTGGCCACTGCAGCCTCGACCTGCTGGGCTCCAGCGATCCTTCTGCCTCAGCCTTCCGAGTAACTGGAACTACAGGCACGCGCTTCCATGCCCAGCTAATTTTTTGATTTATTGTAAAGATGAGGTCTCACCTGCCCAGGCGGGTCTCGAACCCGCGGGCTCAGGCAATCCACTCACCTCAGCCTCCCAAAGGCGCGGGATTACAGGCTGAGCCACCGAGCCTGGCTATTATTATTATTTGAGTTGGGCGGCATCACTCTTTCACTCAGGCTGGAGTAGTGACATGATCACGACTCACCACAGCCATTGACCTCCTGGGCTCAGGCGATCCTTTGTCCTCAGCTTCCTGAGTAGCTGGGACTACAGGTGCATTCCACCACGTCTGGCTAACTTTTTTATTTTTATTTTTGTAGAAACAAGGTTGTGCTTTATTGCCTAGTCTGGTCTTGAACTTCTAGGCTCAAGCAGTCCTCCTGCCTTGGACTCCCCAAGTCTTGGGATTACAGGTGGGCACCACCATGACCAGCACTTACTTTACAATTGATGGCAAGAGATTGTAAAGGTATAAGCTACACTTTAGCTCAGTTCTTGTTTTTAAACTAGAGACAGGATCTTGCTACATTATCCAGGCCAGTTTTGAACTCTTGGGCTCAAGTGATCCTTGGCCTCTCAAAGAACTGGGATTGTAGGTGGGGGCCACCATTCCTGGCTTATTTTCTTTAGATTACAGTACAAATAACACATAATTGAGTTTCTTTATTTTTGAGAATGACTTCTATTTGAATGGGACTGGAAACAGCTTATTAAATGGAATTTTTCTGAACGCTTTTTGAGATTTATTTTGTTTTATTTTTTTGAGTCGGGAGTCTCACTCTGTTGCCCAGACTGGAGTGCAGTGGCATAATCACAGCTCACCGCAGCCTCGACCTCCTGGGCTTAGGCAATATTTCGGCATCAGTCTTCTGAGCAGCCACCACTCCAGGCTAATTTTTTGATTTTCTTGTAGAGTTGAGGTCTTGCTCTGTTACCCAGGCTGGTCTGGAATTCCTGGGCTCAAGCAGTCTTCTACCTCAGCCTTTTCTCGGAGTGCTGGGATAAGATATGAGCCACTGTGTCTGACCCAAACGTGATTCTTTTAAAGGCCTTCTAACATAAAAGACAGGAATAAGGAACTGAACTTAATTAACTAAGGAACAAATCATTATTAGGTGTATTAGTTTGCTATGGCTTCTAGAACAAAATACCATGGATTTGGTGGTTTAAAAAGAAATGTATTTTCTTGCAATTTTGGAAACTAGAAGCTCCATATCAAGGTTCTGATAGAGTTGGTTTCTCCTGAGGCCTCTCCATGGCTTGTAGATGGCCACCCCTTGTTGCCCCTTCAGATGTGATCTTCAGTCTTCTTCTATAAAGACACTAATCACATTGGATTAGAGCCCCACACTAATGGCCTTATTTTAACTAATCACCTTGCTGAAGACCTTATCTCCAAATAATTTTCAATCTGAAGTGCTGGGGTTTGACTTCAGAATATGAACTTTGAGGGGAATGCAGTTTAGCCCTTAACATAGGTAATGAAATCAGTCAAGAAGGAAAACAAGTAATTTTTCAGAATTACCTTTTCTCTTTTATTTATTAATAAGACTTGTGTGGAAGTGCAATTGTTCTGTGCTTTCTTGTGTATCTCCTAGCCGGAGAATTTTCATCCTTGGGCCCTCTCATCACGTACCCCTCTCTCGCTGTGCACTTTCCAGCGTGGATATTTACAGGACACCTCTGTATGACCTTCGTATTGACCAAAAGAGTAAGTATGCAGAAATGTGATCGCCTTTAAAGAGCTACGCTTCTTTTAATAGGAATTGTAAGTTAATTAAAACATTTATGAATATATATATTATAAGTAATATCTCGATTTTAAAAATAAAATTTGATATAACACCTGCATAAGCGAAAACAAAGAAAATCTTCTGTATCACTAAAAGGCTACTAGTGTTTTCCTGCTAGCTATAGAAATCTGTCAAATTCACTGGTCTCCTGACTGGAAGTGTACCATATACTCAGTGTACCATGAAAAAAGAAATTAGTGCCCAAACAAACTTGATGAAAGGTTCTGGGCTGGGCTCAGTGGCTCAGCCTGTAATTCCAGCACTTTGGAAGGCTGAGATGAGTGGCTTGCCTGAGCCTGTAAGTTCGACACCCACCTGGGCAACTTGGTGAGACCTCATCGCTACAATAAATCAAAAAAATTAGCCAGGTGTGGTAGCGCACGCCTGTAGTTCCAGCTACTTAGAAGGCTGAGGTGGAAGGATTGTGGGAGCCCAGCAGGTCGAGGCTGCAGTGGCCGGGAGCATGCCACTGCACTTCAGTCTGGGCGACAGAGTGAGACTCCAACTCCCAAAAAAACCCCAAAAAACAAGATTCTGGGCATGTAAGCCTACCTCTATGGATGTTACTTTTCTTACTGTAAGTAGATAATGGTGCTAATGCCTTTATTTCATCTCAGATGATTTTTTTTTTTTTGAGTTATAGAGTCTCACTCTGTTGCCCAGGCTGGTGTGCAGTGGCACACTCATGGCCACCGCAGCCTCGACCTGCTGGACTCAGGCGATCCTTCTGCCTCTGCCTTCCAAGTAGCTGGAACTATAGTCACACACCACCACGCCCGGCTTATTTTTTGATTTATTGTGGAGATGAGGTCTTACCAAGTTGCCTAGGTTGGTCTCAAACATGTGAGTTCAGGCAATCCTTTCACCTCAGCTTCCCAAAGTGCTGGGATTATAGGTGTAAGCCACTGTGTTGGCCCTTCCTTTTTAATTTTTTTTTTTTTTTTTGAGTTGGAGTCTCACTCTGTCACCCACACTGGAGTGCAGTGGCTGTTCCTGGCCACTGCAGCCTCAACCTGCTGGGCTCCGGTGATCCTTCTGCCTCAGCCTTCCAAGTAGCTGAAACTACAGGCGCGCGCTACCATGCCCGGCAAATTTTTGAATTATTGTAGAGATGAGGTCTCGCCAAGTTGCCTAGGTGGCTCTCGAACCCGCGGGCTCAGGCAATCCACTCACCTCAGCCTCCCAAAGTGAGGGATTACAGGCTGAGCCACTGAGTCCGGCTCCCTTTTTAATTTTTTTTTTGCAGGTGATTTTTAATGGGGAAAAAATGAGTCTGTATTTGTGAAACATTGAAAGAAAGGTGCTATATAAATCTTAAATACATTTTACTTTTTAACATGCCTATCATTTTATTTATTTGTTTTTTCCATTGGGTACCAGAAGTCACGTTTATATTTTAATTGGTTCTTGCACAATAGATGTGTAAAAACGTTTTGACTTTATAAAGATATCTTTGGAGAGTAGTGTGGGGGGTATAATTGTAAAAATACAAAGCTATAGAAAATAGCAGAGAAATTAGTATAATAAATATTGATAACTCTGTAATCTGTTTCATCAATTTATATTTTAATATAATTTGATCAATTCATCCAGTTCATCAAATTATATTTTAAGTATGTTAGAGTTGCTATTATTTCAATAAACTTTGCAACAATTCTGTAGAAAGAAAGACTCCATTTGCAAAATAAATAGTTTTCCTTATTTTAGGCCTACATTTTCATAACTTGGGGTCTTACGTATCATAGAGTATTAGCAATTTGTTGTTAAAATGCATCTTATAAATTAAGCTGGAGTAATTCTCTTTTTTTGTCCTTTTTGAACTGGAGTCTCACTCTGTTGCCCAGGCTGGAGTGCAGTGGCACACTTCTGGCCACTGCACCCTCTACCTGCTATGATCAGGCAGTTTTTCCGCCTCAGCCTTCCAAGTAGCTGGAACTACAAGCATGCACCACCCGCATGCCTAAATTTTTTGATTTATTGTAGAGATGAGGTCTTGTCAAGTTGCCTAAGCTGGTCTTGAACCCCTGGGCTCAGGCAATCTTCTCACCTCGTGGAGTGCTGGGATTATAGGCGTGAGACATTGTGTCATCTGAAGCTAGAGTGTTTCTTTTTTTTTTTTTTTTTTTTTTTTGAGTTGGAGTCTCTTTCTGTCGCCCAGACTGGAGTGCAGTGGCTGCTCCCGGCCACCACAGCCTCGACCTGCTGGGCTCTGGTGATCCTTCCGCCTCAGCCTTGCAAGTAGCTGGAACTGCAGGCGCGCGCTACCATGCCCGGCTAATTTTTTTATTTGTTGTAGAGATGAGGTCTCGCCAAGTTGCCCAGGCGGGTCTCGAACCCGCGGGCTCAGGCAATCCACTCACCTCAGCCTCCCAAGGTGCGCTGAGCCACCGAACCCGGCCTGGAGTATTTCTTACCTTACTCTCTGAGATGGTTTCATGGGGCACATTTTACTTTCAAACCTTTTTAGGACCTTCAGAAAACTTTAATTTTGTATAACCTATAGTGAAGAAATAGAGAATCTTTAACCAGGTATAATTTTATAGAAAAGAGGTCATACCTCCATTTCTTTCTTTCTTTGATATAGGTAAACCCAGTTAAGGTTCTAGCTATAAAATGTTGGGTCTATTCTATGTTAAAACAAATATTCTTATGTCATACTTTTTTTTTTTACACATTAAATTACATTTTTTTCTTGTTCGACGGTATCCAACTTTAAGTATTGTTCATCAGAAGGACCTGAAATACTAGTTCTTTTTAAGTTGGCATGGTACTGTGGTGAATTTATGTTCTATCTCTCCCATGAGTTTAAACTTGAACTTTGAAGGAAATAGTGTTCTTAGAATTTTCTGTTCGTGGTACAGCAGAAACCTGAGGCATGAAATAATGCCACTCATTTTATTAAGAAACCTAACCAAACAGAACTCAAAAAATATATTGCTGACCTCGTTAGTAAACAGATCAGTGATTTTTCCATATTTCAGTAGGAATTTTAATTATGTTCTTGGTACCATATGCTGATTAAAGTCAAGGAAAAGCCTAGACCCAGAGTCGATTTTAGACATAATGAAAGGAACTGATGAAAAATTTAAATTTGCCATTTTTAATATAATTATGTAACATATACAAATGATGAGTCTTTACATGTATTATTGCTTTACTTGGTACATAAAAACAAGTTGTTTTCTTTTTTTTTCTTTGGAGTCGGAGTCTCACTCTGACACCCAGGCTGGAGTGCAGTAGCATGCTCACAGCTACTGCACCCTCTCAACCAGCTAGGGACAGGCGATCCTTCCACCTCAGTCTTCCAAGCAGCTGGAACTACAGGCATGCACCACCACACCCGGCTAATTTTTCTTGATTTAGTGTAGAGACAAGGTCTGACCAAGTTGTCTAGGCTGGTCCCAAACCCCTTGGCTCAGGCAGTTCTCTCTTCTCTGCTTCCCAAAGCACTGGGATTATAGGCATGAGGCACTGTGCCTGGACCTGCTTTTTAAAAATTCTTATTTTTAATCAGAGAGCAATACTATGTCTTTCTCTGGCTTTTGCCAAAGCATGGAGTTTTATGTTACTGGATGGAATCTCACAAGATAAAGATATACATTAATATATTTGTTTTAATTTATTTTGAAATCTCTTTAGTTTACGGAGAACTATGGAAGACAGGAATGTTTGAACGCATGTCTCTGCAGACAGATGAAGATGAACACAGTATTGAAATGCATTTGCCTTATACTGCTAAAGCCATGGAAAGGTATATTGATTGATATAAGAAATCCCAGAGAAATTATAGATATTAATTTCTTTTGATTATTTTAGCTAGGGTAAAATACTTATTAGGATAAGGAGATATAAAAACATTTTTGTTAACCAAAATGAAAAAAAAATTGGAATTGGGGTGTCTTAATGTGAATTGAAGTTGGTTTTGCGTAGTTTGCCTGTGAAGGCCGAACATATGAATTCATATGGTTGTTTTATTCGGTGGAAGTATAAAAAAGAAAACCTATATGTATGTGCGTGTGTGTGTATCTTGCTTTGCTTTGTATTTTAGTAATTAGACATTTCTTTACCTCAGAATAATAGTTACATTCTTTAATGGTATAATTTTCTAATGATAACATTTTAGATTTGGAATTAACTTTAGAGGTCATTTCTTCCAACCTTATACAAAGTGCCTGGATTGCTTTTAGAATATGTCGACAGACTGTTTTTTGGTATCTGCTAAAGGTCTTCCAGTGAGAGGACCCCCAGCAGATTATAAGCAGAGGGAGGACAGAGACTATCTGTTCTCCTTGCCATTGTATACTCTAGTTGCTAGCCCAGTGCCCATTAGTATATTTTCAGAAAATGAAAAGAATGTGTTAAGAGTTTTCTTTCTTCCTTCAGTGCAGCATTTGAGCAAGGAAGTCTTTTGTAGGTCACATTTCTCTGATTTTTTTTCAGCCATGTCCTTTATGTGGACTTAGTATTTCATAGACAGTTTGACTAGTTCTAAATATGGTAAGATCTCCTCCTTGGATGTGTTCACTGTCTTCTCTTAGTAAAGTACAAGATACATTGTAGGTTTTTAGTAAATATTTGTTAATTAAATGCATTAATGAAGGTCAAGATCATATTAACCCTTATTTACTTATTTATTTATTTATTTTTTATTTTTTGAGCTGGAGTCTCACTCTGTCGCCCAGACTGGAGTGCAGTGGCATGCTCCTGGCCACCGCAGCCTCGACCTGCTGGGCTCTGGCGATCCTTGGCGCCTCAGCCTTCCAAGTAGCTGGAACTACAGGTGTGTGCTACCATGCCTGGCTAATTTTTTTTTTTTTTTTGAGCTGGAGTCTCACTCTGTCGTCCAGACTGGAGTGCAGTGGCTGCTCCCGGCCACCGCAGCCTCGACCTGCTGGGCTCCGGCGATCCTTCCACCTCAACCTTCCGAGTAGCTGGAATTACAGGCATGCGCTACCACGCCCGGCTGATTTTTTGATTTATTGTAGAGATGAGGTCTCGCTGCCCAGACGGGTCTCGAACCCGCGGGCTCAGGCAATCCACTCACCTCAGCCTCCCAAAGGCGTGGGATTACAGGCTGAGCCACCGAGCCTGGCTCTAATTTTTTTATTTATTGTAGAGATGAGGTCTCACCATGTTGCCCAGGCGGGTGGCGAACATATTAACATTTTTTATTAATGTTACTTACTTACTATTGGCTAACATACTTATGATCTGCTAAAATGTGAAGCTTTTTCAGACTCTTACGATGGATTATTTTCTCTTCTTGGACTTTTGTGTGGTTGATTTCTTAACTCCGAGCATGTATGGCTCCTCATTCATTTCTGTTTAATTTTTTATTGTTGTTTTAGTTCATTATTGGAGTCTTTATGGATCATTTCCACTCTTAATTCTGTATTCAAAGTATTCTATACTTTTCTCAGTCTTTTGTTATCCAATAACTTCACAATGTTAACCATGAGAAATTATACAGACCTTAAGAAGTTTCCAAAAATTAGTGTGATATTAAGTTATAAGCAGCAGTATAATTTTAGATTATCTTTTAGTACATTCTGATTATTCAGAAATTGTGAAACCATAAATAGTTTATTTCTTGAATTTTCGGTGTAATAAGAACTTTCTTCAACTACAAAAGATAATAGAAAATTTTTGTTATTTGCTGAAATGTTTGCAAAGTTTTTCCTGGGAAAATATAATTTAGGCTTAATACATTTTAATATAATAGGATCAATAAGCTCACAATATCCTCAAGGATGTCATAACAAAATAACATTTTAATTGTCATTGTAAGTAAAACATGTACATTGTGAGAAATTTAAGAAAATGTAGCTAACTTAAAGCCAGCAGACAAAATCCCTATTCATAATTCCCCCTCTTTTAAGTAGTAGTAAATAAACGACCACATTATTTTAGGGTCTCTAATACTGACTTTTGTATCATACCTAGTACTTTTCTGGTGTAGTGTTTGTTACACTCGTTATCTATATCAGTTACCTATTGCGGACTAACAAATTCCCCAGAATTTAGTGGCTTGAAATCACTGTTTTATTGCTTACAATTTTGGGGCCAGGAATTAGGGTAGGACCACCTTGCTCTGGCCCACAAGGTGTTGCCTTAAGGCTCATATAGGACTAGAGGATCCAGGATGGCCTCACTCATGCATCTCAGGCCTTACTGCTGGCTTTCTGTTGAGACCTCTCATTTGTTCTCCATCTAGCCTGTTTACTCGTCAGCTAGGGCTTTTCTCTTTTCTTGGTAACTTTCTAGAAGGATGCCTAGATTTCATGGTGAAAATGTAGCTAACTTAAAGCCAATGAATGACATGGTGACTCAGGGTATCAAGAGAGCAAAACAAGTTTCTCCGCCTATTGAATTTTGTTTTTCACAGTAAATAAGGTCATGGTGCCAGCCAAGATTTAAAGGGAGGAGAAACAGATTGCTCCTCTTAATGGGAGGTGCAGCATGTGTATATAGGAGTAGGAAAAATAGTTGGCAGCCATCTTTGCAGATGGCCTACCATGGTTCTTCCTCTGGTAGACATGTCTTTCCAACATGTATTGTATACCCTGCACTCCCAGGGTGCCCGGAAATCTCATCTAATTATGGTCTCAGGCTCAAAATCCATTGTCTTATGATCTGTATCCAGTTAGGGTGTGAGGGTTTACTCTCTGAGTCCTTTTTACTTTTCCTTAAGAAATGGTCGTTGTTTGCACTGGAGCAGCTGAGTTGGTCTGCTTAATGGATTTGAGAGTTTAGAGGCCTATTTTATTGTAGTGCTTCTTTTAGTTTAAACTGATAGAACTCCTTTAAACACTTTGTGAGTTTCCTGTATATCAGATTCTAGGTGCATTCCATTTGACACAAGTCACATCCACAGTTCTTTAGGAGACAGGTCTCTGTGTATTTCAGACCTCAGGTTAGGGTCTCGTAAGTTTCATGGAAGCCTATCTGAGAGCGTGTGCAAGCACTCTATGGAATCTTAACAAAAGATCTTATGGATCCATTTCTGATTTGATGATTGTGAGGCCACATTTGACAGCAGTGCTCTGAATTTGGCTTTTTGCCTTCAACTCAGCAATTCCTGGTTAAAATATTCCTTTAACTTCTGTTTGCAAGCTAAGCAGTTTATTCTTTAGCTCATGTTTTTCTACTTGTACTGTCTCTCATACTTGGCTATAAAGAAACCAAGGACCCTCTGAATATTCTACCTGGAAACCTCCCTAGCCAGCTCCGTCGGTTTGCTCAGTATGCCTTGAATCTTTTGAGTTACCTCATGTGACAGTTTTGCTGATTGCTTTGGTGGTTGCTCTGGAGGTATAGAAAGTGTCATCTTTCTTCCAGCCTCCTGTTGCATTCTTATGTTTTTCCAGTTTCTACGGTCTCTGTCTTGCCCCTTCAGCTTCTGCCTGCCCGAGTCCCAAAGCCAGTGTGCGGTGTTGTAGGCTTCTTTCAGGTCAGCACCTCATTTCCCGGTCCTGGTTTTTTGTCTCAGTTATCTGTTGTAGCCTAACAAATCGCCTCCACACGTGTGTATTTTTGCTCCTGATTATGTGGGGTTTAGGACATTGGTCGGAGCTCAGTGCAGACTGTCTGCCTCTGTTCCATCACCTGCCTGTTGAGGCGTTAGGCTCAGGCTCAAGGCTCCAAGGTGCCATCCCTTCAGTCATTTCCTTAGGCACCTCTGTTCTTATCTTGGCTCTCATCTGTCTGCACTGGTGACACCCTTCAGGGCTTCTCTCTTCACATGACATTCTTTCTCCACAGGGTTGTCTTGGACTGCTTTCCGTAGCATTGACAACATTACTTATGCTGCATTCCACTGGTCAAGGCAAGGTGTAAGGCTCAACTTTAGAGGGAGGGAAACATGAGGTGTTGCTTTTGAAGGGAGGAGTGATATTGCGTGTTTAGAAGCAGGGAGACTCTTTGGTGGTTCTACTTGTGAACACTGCAAGTGGGAGTGGGTACTCAATGACGAGTCTGCCTCCTTTCAATGGCATTCATCTCCTGTGCTCTGCCTGGAGCAGCTGGTTTATGCTGCCTCTCCTGTGCCCAGCACAGTGCCTGGCACACAAAAGGATTTCGCTGGTTAATTGTTGAATGAATTGATAACTTTGTCATTTTCAATACCTCAATGAAATATTTTTCCAAAAAATAAGATTACATGCTCTTTTGTCTTAACTGCTTTCGTATCATGAACATATTTCCATATCGTTTTTTACTCCATTATATTGGCTATACATCAGACTTTGTACTATTTGTCTATATAATACTTTATTCAGTTCTTGAACGTTTAACTCTTATACTTTCCCTAAATTTTTTCACTATTACAAACTGTCATATATGTTTTTAAAAGGTAGATATCCAAGGTATTATTTAAAATTGTATGTGTGACTGGGCGTTGTGGCTCATGCCCATAAATCCCAACACTCTAGACCGAGGCAGGAGGATCGCTTGAGGCCAGGAGTTTGAGACCAGCCTAGGCAACATAGTGAGACCTCATCTCTAAAAGAAAATAATAAAATATTAGCTGGGTGTGGTGGTGCACGCCTGTAGTTCCAGCTACTCAGAGGTTGAAGTGGGAGGATCACCTGAGCCCAGGAGACTGAGGCTGCAGTGAGCTGTGATTGTGCCTCTGTACTCAAGTCTCAGCAACAGAGTGAGGCCCTGACTCAAAAAAAAAAAAAAAATTCTATATGTTCTCTTAAATAGATTCTAGAAAATGATACTTATACGATCTGAAGAGAAACCAGAGTA